ATCCCATTTGTGTTCCGTGTGATTGTAATTTAAACGCAGCCCACGTGCGTGCTTCCTTTGTTTAGACGATTTTTGCCTACCCCATGCCTGCCACGTATTGCCCTCACCGCATAAATCCATGTTCATATGCATATCAATATCAGTATGGGTGTGGGTTTTAGAGAACTACTAACCAATGAACGTGCAGATACTGGCAAAATACATACACACGGAACGTTGGTTTCAATGTTGAATAATACAGAATATAATACGTGCTGGGGTGGCGAACCGGCTCAGGTAGGATAAACAGTTTAACCGTCTGGGGAAATTGTGCTCGGTAGGAATGACTTGTATGGCCCCGTAAACAAGACATGACTGTAGGAGCACCCCGCCAATTTAAAGTAGATGACATTGCGATAAATTCCAAGAAGGGGAACTAGTCCCGTGTCTTAATCCTAACGTCAAACTAAACTGTAACCTTAATCCTAACCCTAGCCGTACCTCAAGCCTTACAAGGACCCAGCCCTTAATCTCTAACACAATACTCACCTCAACCCTAACTTTAAATCTAACCCTATCTATCACCTTTGTCCTAAATATAATTTCCTCGAAATTTAGCGCAAAGTCACATGCAATTATCGCCGGCTCCTGCTCCCTTGTTCTGTGTAGGCGACCATAGAAGTCATACTTACGCACATTAGGAACCGTATTAATCAATTTTCGGTTTTAGCGGTTTTGGGGGTTGCCACTTTCGTAGAATACGGTTGATTTAACAGTGGGGGTGGAGATGGTCATATTTCAGTCAGGTCAGGTCAGGTTTTATTAAAGGAAATGTAGGTAAATACCTTTGAACTCCCTTTTGGTACAGAACAGCTATGCAATGCATTTGTTCAACAGAACATTTCAAAGAGTGGCGTTGCCAGTAAATGGAACTGGGTAAAAAGGGTCGACAGTCTTATCATAATATTCTCTGACGTCTTTCCTCTTTCCTCACCTAGGTTGTCTCTACGCTATCGGTGGCCTAGACGGAACCTCGCGTCTGAACACGGTGGAGCGCTTCGATCCAAAGACCGGAGTTTGGCACCGAGTGGCTTCCATGAACTATCGTCGCAGTGCCCTGGGCGCAGCCGTTCTCAATGGGCGAATCTACGTCTGCGGTGGCTATGACGGTGTCGCCTCCCTACGCACCTGTGAGGTCTACAATCCGGAACAGAATAGGTAATTACTACTGCTCCCTCCTTGAATGCTTTCCTTGCCTCCTTTAAAGACAGATTGGGGGGGAGGGAATGAGACAAACGGTCGTTAGGGGTCTCTAATACACCCATCCTCCCCTGAAAGGGCAAAAGAGATGCCCGAAGAGGCGTATTGTAATAGCCGAAAAGCTGACTGCGTACTGTGTCAAGCAGACAACACTACTGCTTTACGCGATTTCCTGATTAATCCGACAGTGGTAGTATTGACGGGTTGCCTGAGTCATTCGGCAAGATATGGC